CGATAAAAATAAAATAAAATTAAAAAAATATACAAAATATGTAATTTTAATATAAATTTAACAATTAAAAACAATTAAAAAAATAAAAGTATCAATGACTTTTATTTTTTTGTCTGACAGGAGAAACCCCAATATAATAATAACAACAAAAATAGTAAAAAATATGCCAATATGAAAAGTTTAAGAAAGTATATAGGCTAATTTTTAGTTATAGAAATTAATAAGCTATAATTTGTCAAGTTATGGTTCATAAGTAGATAAATTATGGACAAACTTGTCAAGTTATGGTTCATAACCAGACAAGTTATAGACAAAAATCGTGAATTATGGATAATAACTTATTAAGTTATGATTCATAACCAGACAAGTTATTGACAAAAATAATAATTTGACATATTTATTAACTTGTGTAAACTATTAACCTATTAATTTTAATTCATCTCAAATCTTAACCTATTTTTATCTTTCTCCCTGATAACAATAGAGGAGATGATTGAACCCAACGACAAATAGTGACTTCATTTATACTTGACCAGAAGCAACGCGGAAACAACCCACAAACACCCCCCCCATACCAAAACAATTTCTCGTCTCTTTATTCCTTTCTGAAATATTCCACCCAAACTACTATCTCAACCTAGGTTAGGTAATTTTGCGATGGCCGATAATATTAATGAAATTAGCAAGAAGAGGAATCACATATCTCCTCCCTCACTCATCAACCCATACCTATCCTCCCTCCTTCTCTCAACCCATTATAATCAAACCCAAAGTAAAATCATCCAAACTCTCATAGAAATTCAAACCAAATAACAAGAAAGAATCATACCTCGACAATCTTTATTTTGCCTCTAATGAATGAAGAATCCAAAAAGAGTCAAGAGGTGAGGTTTGATGGCTGGTTGGAGTTTTTCTCTAATGTTCTTGAACGTGAGAAATAAGGAGGAAGATGGAGGGAGAGAAGGAGAATTGAATGGCTCTTTAATGTGTATAAAAATTAATATGATTGATTTAGGTTTAATTAAGGTTTAATTCTATGATTAAATGACCAACAGCTGGGAGAATGGTTGTCATTATGGTGTAAAATTGTGTGGAAGACAAATAAAAGAGTTATGTCAACTTCTAGAATTTCCATTCTTGTTCACATGCAGTAACGTGATCGGACACTTCTGGGTATCCGAATGGTATACTGGCCACATCTTCTTACTCCAATGTCCGATTTGTGCAAATGAGAAGGCGTTGGAAAGCTTTTGAAAGCATCTATGGCTTTGTATAAACCAAAGGAATAATTTCAGAATTTAAAGGGTCCAAAATAGAGCTGGAAATTAATGATATAGAAATAGTCATGTTGTCTAACAAGAAAAATCAAGGAAAACTTAAAATTTTTCTAAGACACTTAATTCCATGCATTATAACATGAAGTACATCATATCATGAACATATATACATTTATCAAATCATAAAAAAATGAACATATATATAACTTCTATAAAATGACATGAATTTGTTCTCAGCACCTCGAGTCCTCATCGCGTGCATCCATAACAAATAACTCAACTTGATGTTAGAATTCCCTAAATATACACCATGATTCAAGTTAATTCCTAATATTTATTTTTAAAAATTTTGTCAGTTAGAAAAATGGGTGTTGCAGAATGTATATAGCACTAACCTATTAGTATTAGCATTGTTGTAAATCTTACCACTACCTTATTAATGGTGTAAATTCTCATTTTCCTTGTGAACATTTTTGTGGTTATTTAAATTGGTACACTTATAACTGATATAACAAATACTATTTTCACGTTTTAGAAAACACTATTTAGTTTGATTTTATTTATTTTATTTTATTATTTATTTTTCTTTTTTTGGTAAAAGGAGTGAGTTGAGCTGTTTAACACTAGCATTTGACTCCGGGGAAACAAGTGGATGGGTTGGGGTCGGTTGGTAGATGTAGCTCTTGATGCAATTAATATTGTTGGTGCTTGTGACGTTGGTGCTTGTGACATTGGTAATGTGTTAATGCTATGACATGCAACGTCTTTCATCATTAATGGAGTTGTGTTGTGATGTATGCCTCTCATTTGCATTCATAACTACATTTTCCAAGAAATTATCTTCCCAAAAGAAAAGAAAAAAAAAAAGGCTGTTGGTTTGATTTATGTCATGGTTCATCAAGGGACTTGGATTTCATATTCAAGAAGATGGACTCACAGTTTTTGCACTCTTTCTGACCAATGCTTGAGTTGTTACTAATGGCATGTTTACTTATCCGTAATCGGAGTAGACATGAATCGAAGTGGACAAGATTCAGAGTGGACAAGATTTAGAGTGGACAGGAATTAAAATTAGAATAAACTGTTTACTTAAGTTTCAGGAATTAGAGTCGAAATCAGTCCCAATCTCATTCATGCGTTTACGTACGCCTAGAATCGGAATAAACTGTTATAAATTTACTTACATATCCTTTTAGTAGATTTTTGTGTGTTGAACTTAAAAAAAATTGTGTATTATGCTAACTATCTTAATATTATGATAACTAATAGTAATTAGATTTTTTAATCACACCTAATTAATCATCTAAATAATTAGAATAACTAATTAGTAATTAGATTTTATTAATTACTCTCTTCTTTCGTGCTAAAAGTTGAGACATGATTACTCTACATTATCAACATATAAAATTAAATTTAGCATTACATTGCATATTATAGAAAACATAAATCAGCTTAGGATATAGATTGAAAAATGAAAAGCAATAGGCATAATACAAGAATCAAATTATAAGCATGGAAAAAAAAACTATCTTAGTTTCATTTAATTATTTGCATTGATATGAATTCATCCATGGCACTAGTAAGAAAGATAGAAAAGAAAAAAAATATATACATCATAGGAAGTGAGCAAGAAGATATGAGATGTGTGAAAGTAAATTAGGATATTTTTTAATTTTTTACTTTTTACTTTTCTATTCACAAATTTGTTAGTAGAATTAAGAGTAAAATCGTAATTAACATTTACTATTAGGATGGGGAGTGCCAATCCGATGGGGAGTGAGAGGAGTGCCAATCACATTCCTCAACCCCAAATTGGTGTGGGATCCATACATTTTCACTCTCATTCCAAGATAAAAATGGATAAGTAAACATGGGGTTAATTCTGATTCTTAATTCTCATTCCCCACTCCCGGTAAGTAAACATGCCATAAATGTAATACTTGCCCACTGCCATTAAAATCTTGGGCATGGAGAGAGAGAAACTAAGCCTTATTTGTACTCTGACGTAAGTTTAGAGTCCCGTTCATTTCGCTAGTTTAAATTACAAAATAGGTTCTTTTTACAGTATCTTTTCTTTAGAATTTCAAATTTAACTTTTTTTATTACTTTATTTTTTTTACATAAATTAATTTTTTTACTCAAATTCTTAACTTGAATGTGCGAAACGCGGTCAGCCTTTCGCTTTCTCTCTTTTTCAATTTGTATTCTACAATAATGGAAAATCTTTCTTCGTTTTGAGAGAAATGAGATTAATTATGAGCTTTGTCTTTCCTTTTCTTTTTACCTAATTTCATTGCATTAAATGACAACTAGTGTAAGGAAATAGGCCTTACTCAGAGCTTTACCAATCTTTCTTGATGAGGCTAACAAGTAAAAAAAGGAAATCATATTAAAAGGAAGGCAAATGAACAATGGAAAAGTGAAAAGAGAAAAAGAAAAAGGAATGAAATATGCAGATCTAACAGTATATGTTGTCGTTTTCAGGTCAGCCTTGACACGAGTGTGGTCCATATTGGGGCGACAACATATTTGTACGAATGTTTGATTCACTTAACTGTACATCTTGTGTATATGAATATCCTATGAGATTAAGTGTGCGTTTGATTGATAAATTTGTGTCATGATTTGTAATTTGTTATTGTATTTTTTCTCATAAAAAATACACATAAATTGAGAATAATTTTAAATCATGATTCTAAATTCATGAACTAAACGTCCACTAAAATCAAACTTCCGCATGCATATATTATAAATATAAGGATTTTTTTATGGTAATCTTATATTATTTATTAGGACTGTTAAATCTTAGCAATTCTGTTAAATTTATATATTTTTTTAATTCAATATATTATGATGATCTATCGTTTAGAAATACATTTTCAAAAGAAATGCAAGGAGCACATGTGTTTGTTTTCTCTTGATTTTCATTTCTTTTTTTTTTTCCTTGTTGTATGAATTTAAAAAATTTAAGGACAAAACAAGAGTGCAAGTTTGGCCGTGTTTGAAATTGATCTCGTTTTTATTTTTCACATTTTAAAAAAAAAAATGAAAACGTTTTCAAAATGACGTTTGGCAGAATAAAAATAAAAATAAAAATGAAAATGATTTTTTAATTTAGTGTAAAATGAGAGATAAATGAAAAACGTTTTTATTTTCATTTCTTGCTTTCATTTTCTTCTCTCTCGATCAAAGAGAAAAGAAAGACATAAATGAATTTTTTTACATTGAAAACAATCTCTTAATAAAACTACCAAACACATTTTTAAAAATAATTTATATTTAAAATTAAAAATATTTTTATTTTTATTTTTATATAAAAAAATAAAATTATTTTAAAACGAGTTCCAAACGCACCGTTTCTTTATCATCACACGCCCTTTCTTTTGTCATTACCACATTATGCTTTGATGGTTGCCCTTGGCACTTTGCAAATATTTTTATTTTTATTTTTATATAAAAAAATAAAATTATTTTAAAACGAGTTCCAAACGCACCGTTTCTTTATCATCACACGCCCTTTCTTTTGTCATTACCACATTATGCTTTGATGGTTGCCCTTGGCACTTTGCACCTCATAGAGTGTACACATACTGCTGACTATATTCAGTACTTGCTTGGCTTGCTCTTTTACTACTCTTCACTCTCACTCATATTCTCAATCAAATCCCTCTCATCTCTTTCCTAGTTCCAAAAAAAAAAAAAAAATTCAAAGCTGCTAACTTTTTCTCCTCCTTTGAAATTAACCTTCCTTAACCTTTGCTTATTCTCTCTATAATGGCTTCAATGTCAACTGAAGAATCCCAAGAATCACTCAAATACCAGGTCAGTTCTAGTTCAATGGTACTATATATTCTTCTTCTTCTTCTTCTTTTTTAATTTGGACTTTTCAACCTTTTTTTTTTTCCCCTCAGACATGGGTGCTGAAAGTTTCCATCCACTGCGAAGGTTGCAAGAGAAAAGTGAAGAAAGTTCTGCAGAAAATAGATGGTAATTATATCATTTAAAACTTTTAGCGTACTTGAAGAATAAACAAAATATCTACATATACTTAACCGTACATTTGGTTGCAGAGAAAATCTTGTGAAATATTAAAAAGGCCAAGCAAAAGCTAACCAAAAAAAAAAAAAGAAAACACAAGTTAATTTCCCAAACCAAACTAAACGATACACAATGTTGTTTTCTAGTGGCAAATAAACAAAGATTTCGTTCATTCCATATTTTCATGCACCACCTTTGTCCCATGCACTATTTTTTACACCTAAAAGTATGTGTGTGTGTATATATATATATGTGTGTGTATATATATCTTCCTTTTTTTTTTTACATTATTTTTGTTTCTGTATATATAGGTGTTTATACCACAACTATAGATTCACAACAACAAAGAGTCACAGTCACTGCAAACGTGGACGTTCAGATTCTCATCAAGAAGCTGATAAAGACTGGAAAACACGCAGAGATTTGGCAAGAAAATCTCCAAGGAAAAGAGAAAGCAATGATCATGAACGGAAAAGCAAAGAACAAAGACAAAGACCCAGAAAGCAATATGGGAAATATTACTACTGCTGCTGCTACTAATCCAAGTGCCAAAAATATGGAAGTTAATGAGGTTAGTTCTACTACTTCTACTTCTGATCGTCACATAAACACCTCCACTGAAAAGTTTGACAAAAAAGAGGAAAGTCAACGGTCAACGGTCAAGGAAAATTCGCCGGAGGAGTCACCCGCCGGCGAGGATTCTGTAGAGAAGGAGACTGGTGGAGAGATCAAAAGGGGTAGTGGTGGTGGAAGTAAAAAGAAGAAAAGAAAAGGGCAAAAAGGTAATGAGAAAAGCAGTAATGGTGGTTTGGGTACAGGGAATACTGGTGCACCGGCATGCAGAGGATCGGAGACTAATGATCACGGTCAAAATCAAGGTGGTGGTTCGGTTAATCTCAGCCATACATTACGTTATTCATACCCTTATCCACATGAGTATTACCCTCCTCTTGTGTACGCTTCAAGTTACAGCACAGCACATCCTAGCATAGCCCCGGGCCCGTTCCTCTACGTCCCATCTCCACCGTACACGTGTGCGAATGGCCACCACGAGATTTATGGTTTGCAAGCAATGTCTTTGGGTTCTTTTGAGATCTTCAGTGATGAAAATGCAAATGGGTGTTTTATCATGTGAATTGAGTACAAAATGTTTGCTTGTAATAGTGCATGGAAAATAGGGGATCTTATTTGCAAAAGTGACACAAGAAAGGCGAGGCCTAGAATGCTTGTTGTATAGTTTTGTTAAAAATCAAGTCGCAGCTCACAAGAGCGTGTTGTGTGAATATGACTCTGTTGGTGCTCTTTGGATGCTAGTAAGAATTTTCTTATGAAAAAGGGCATTTTTGAATAGTAGAATCTATTTTTTTCCCTTGTTTCTATTAAAATAAACTGACAATTTCCTGGTTGGGTAAAAATAAAATCCTTTCAACAAGAAATAATTTTAAATCTTTAGATCACGTCAAAATTATATCTCATTACAAATATACATACATATATATATATATGACACTTAAAACAAAATACACAAAGAAATAAGCAATTTATAAGCTTCTTGTCAAGTGGATTTTGTTTTGAAAAGGCAACCTTCTGTAACATGCTTATATAAGCCTGTGACTGAAGGTTCCTGCACTATATTAACACCAGTGTCAATAAATTTCAAAGAAAAACTTAAGGATCCGTTTAGTAAGAGGATTCAAATCAGGTGAGTTTAAACCTTGAGTTTGAGCCATGAGGGTTTTGAACTGTACGGTTTGAGAACCTAAGAGAATTTGGGTTTAAAAATCCTTATTTTAAGGGTTTAAACATCACATCAAGTTTAAATCCTTTTTACTTTTGGCAAAACAAACACTGATTTGAATCCGAATATGAGTTTAAACCTTTTGAACTCTCCAACCAAACGACTCCTAAGTTAAGACTGATCTATAATCATATGCTTAGAATGGTTTGGTGGTCAAGTAAAGGAGAAATGAACTTGTTAGGAAGAAGAGCATCTTCATTGCGTGCATTAAGTCCTAAAGGAAAGTATTGAGAAAACGTTTTGAAATTAGCTCATGGTACCTAATAGGGTGGGCATTTGATCAAAACCAATAATTTTGCATCGTTCATCATCCAACCCAATCATGTACAAATTCATTCAAATCCAACCATTAATCCAAGAGCTCTATTGGTTTCTTTATATACTATGTATGCACATAAAAAAAATACATTGGAGCGGTTTGGTTACTATTAGATTCAACATTGAATCCAATCAAATTGGATGAAATCAAATTCAACCCCACCATCTTTCAATATCCAATTTTTGTTGGTTGGATTGATTAGATCGATTAGATGACAACTTTTTTACTCAAACTTTTTTACTCAACTTTTTTCCAACCCCTAGACTACCAACCTAAAGTTTCAAGGTCCACTCTCTTGTTTAATTTTAAAAAGCCATCGATGACAAATGATTCAGAAACATATATTTGTATATAGTGTAGACTATAATTTAGAAGAAAATGGAATCTTTCTTCTGCTTCATTTCACCTTTTCCCTGTGAAGGATATTGACAGGGGCAAAATCTGCTGTAAGAACTAAAGAATATACTAGCGACCCTTCAGTAATTGTTGTTACTTTTCAGCTTTTGTTTAGCTGTCTTTTTGTTTGTTTCCTCTGTTGATGTTGTAGTTCTGCCTTGTCATTATCTTGCTTTCTTTTGATCACTAAAAACCAAACTCGCCTTAGAGGTTTGCTTCAAAACAAATAGTTATTCAATCTGAAAACCCATTCAGCATCTTAAACCAGCCTCACAGGAGAACAACACCACGACTAATGTGTTTAGTACTTGCTGTTTGTTTCATCATAGTATGCATATACATACATACATATATATATATATATATATACACACACACATGAGCATATGTATATTTATTTATGTTATTTATTTATGTTTCCACTAATGAATCATTTGGCACATGAGACATAATTTTGTGTCAAATGCAATTATGGTATTGTGGACCCTTGTAATATCAAAGTAATATGATATGATTTTTGCTAAAATTTATAAAAGATTATTACCCTTTTGCCAATTCTATGTTAGATTAAAGGCCACTCATATTGGCACACAAAATTTCAATCTAAGGGGCCATCTCTCCTAGTGCAAGACAAAGCCATCAATGTCCTGTAAAGCTCTTTTCATATTTTATGTGAATAGAGTTTCATACATGTGATTTTATTGCTTATATCTATCCAAAGATTTACAAATAATTAATGTAAGAATCTTGAGCACGTAGTGTGCTCATGAGGTGCAAACGTTTGCTTGTGGACCAAAATCTTGAAAGCATAAATCAATTAGGGAACAGAAAAGCACAAAAGAATAAGCTATGTTTCAATTATATGTCCACTTTCAGAAGCTTTTGAGGCTGATAAGCCAATAAGTGGAATGACAATTTAAAAGGCGGGACGCAATATGGTTGTTGGACTACTCGGTCAAGGAAGAGATTTTTTTCTTTTTTTAATCATCTTAAGAAAAGCAGAACAATTTTGCATATCTCGTTCCGTTCGTTTGTTTGGGAGATTTATGGGTTGTTCTTTTGAGACAAAACTTAGAAAAAATTTAAACTCGAGTTACAACTTTATTCAAGTTCATGTTCTTTTGTAAAATTTAAGTTTGAACTCGAATTTAAACTCGAGTTTGAGATTAAATTCGAGTTTTTCGTTTCGCTGATTCAAGTTTAGAATTCGAATTTTACTACAGTAAAAAGCTCTCACAAACAATCACATCTAACTTTTTTACTACAGTAAAAAGCTCTCACATACAATCACATCTCAACTCGAATCAGCGAAACGAACGAGGCCTTTTCCCTTCAATTCGAGTTCAGAAACTCGAACTCAAATTAATGAATAATATTTTTTCTATTCTTAAAAATGTCATAACTTTTTCATTTTAATTCTGATTGAGATGATTTTTTTTCTATGTATTCACAACGAAAAGATGAATAAAATCACACCCATATACCCTACTCAAATTTTTCATCACCATTGAGTTTTTATTAAAATACTATCTAAATACAAATTTAAGTTTTGATCCACCCAAATACAAACTCAAAAAGATTCTCAATTCAAATCATAACTCAAATGTGCACATCCAAACACAAACTCAAGTTACAACTTCAACTCAAGTTATAACTCAAACTCAACTTAAAATCATCATTCAAATCACCCTAACTCAAGAATGTAAAAGAACAACCCCTTAAACATTCACAAGAAAATCTTTAAATCGCCAGATTAACTCACATTATTGATCTTGATTTAACATGAACCTTGTTATTTTATGTGTAATATTAATTTCTTTTCTAATTTTTGGTTGAACTTGTCTTTGATTTTTTGACGTCTGAACTTTTGGCTAGAAAACCTTTATCTATGGAGGTCGAGGTTCCCTCAAAGAGAAACGCTAGTATCACTCTATCACTTTTTGAATTTACTATTTGACACGTAAATTCTCTTATCTCATTTTCTATTTAAATAATAATATATTATATTACGGGTTAGTAACAAATATCATCACACTTCATTAAGATTTTCTATTGAAGGGTAATAAAGCACAAGCTACATTGCAGCGCGGCAATCATGCGAGTAATAACAAATGGGTTGTGATGAATTTATGGAAGGAACAAAAGCAAGTGTTTCAATTCATCTGTTATTATATACAATTGGATAACTAAAACCAGAAGGCTACAAGCATAATAAAATGTGCTAAACCTGAAACTGCATTATGTACAAAACCTGAAACTAGGGGAAAAAAAAAAAAAAAAAATAGCTACTTTTTTTTTTTTTACTGAAATGACAAAAAAAAAAAAATCATATGCAGGTTGATGCCTTTGTGGTGCGCTGGTGTGAACCAAGGATGATCACCATTACAGTTACATCATCATGATATTTTCTCCTCCTACCTGCTGGAATATCCATCAACTCTTCCATACTGAAGCCTGAAGTTATAAAAGTTATGTTTAAGATGTATGGATATGATTAAAGATGTCTTTTTTAAAGAAATTATTGGCTACAGAAAACAACTTAATGTGTCAGTGTTAATGTTGGAGACTATTTGGCATAACATGATATTTCACCCCCCCCCCCCCAAAAAAAAAAGAAGTATTGTACAGACCACTCCCTAAATTTCCTTCATAGACCTCAATGGAAGACATCTTGTGGACAGTAAGGCTATGTTCGGTGAGAAAGAAAGAAAGACGAACAGCCTAGGCAAAGAAAATAAAAAAGGGAGGAGAAGACCACTCTCTTACTGTGTTCGGTATAGATTTCCTACTCTAATCTCTTTAAATTTCGAGCGATGAAGGGCCCATTTGACTCGTTGGTTCGAAACATGGTGGTTTGTACTTTTTTGGTTTTAACTTTTAAAACAAACCTCAAAAATATTGTCAAACGCTGGTTCATTTGAACCAATGAGCCAAATGAGCTCTAAAATTGGGGTTGTTCGAAGGATTTGATTGCCTCACCCAATCCATTCCCTCCTCCTTTCCCTCCTACCAAACAGAGGTCCCAAAATCCTTCCACTAATTCCCTCACCCCTCTCCCTCCTTCCACTTTTCCCTCCTACCAAGCAAGTTCTAAATGAAAATCATCTGAAAATGAAAAGACTCATTTCTGATAGATGAAAAGTTGAAAACATAAAAAAAATGAAATTAGAAACCAGAGCAAATAATGGAGAAATGTTAATCAGTCTAAGATATACTTCTACTTTAATCATGAGTTGCTTTGCTTCTTATGAATATCAATCTAACCACCAAGGATTTACCTGCACACTTTGCTGCTTTATTCACAAGCTGCTCTACTAGAAACTTAGCCGGGTCACCGTAAGGGTGGCTCAAGATGTAGGAATGCACAAGCTCTACTGCCTCATTGTTGCTAAAGAAGTCGAACAAACCGTCACTCCCAACTATAACGAAACGGTCGCGTGGTGAAATCGTACGCACATTTAGTGATGGTTGTGTGGAAACATATGGGGGGCTTATAAGATTTTGAACCCGAAGTATTCCCATAAGCGCATCATTCAGATTTTTCTATAGGAGAGAAGGAAATAGAATTAGAATCCTTACTTAAGAAAACAAGGATATTGACAGTAAAGAATAAATACATAAAAGATGAAACATGCCAAGCTACTGATCATCTCCAGCATGTCAAGTTATAACTTATTCTCATTCATTTGTTAATTTCTCCATTTAGTGAACCATGCGTGAGATATAAACCTCCAAACAAAAAAGAATAATAAGAGAGTTGTATTGACAAAGAGTAATGACCTTTTTCAAGTAACCAACTCCAAATGCACGAGCGACCTTCAATTTCCCTTTCACTTTTCCAGCTACAATGGTCTTAGGGTCATCCGGATGCTCATGCAAAATTCGAGCTCTTTCACCTTCATCGTCGACTGTATGACTTTCGGTAAGCTGGACAGCTTTCAGTTTCTCACGCCCATTCCCATCAGCGCTGTCGCCATCTGTTGCCAGAACAGCTCTGCTGTCGCCTAAATTTAACGAATATAAATCTTCTCCGTGAAGAAGCACAATCAGAACACAAGACCCTATAGAAACCAAATCAGGGCGATCCTCCATTTCCTGTTCAACCATGTAGAGAAAGTCACTCTCAGCCTGAGAAAGCGCTCGTTCGAGGCTATCAAGCACTTCTTGCCTATATGAATCAGGTGACTTTTGTATTCTAGCATATGGCCTATTCTTGGAAATATCATAAGATGTACCCTTGTTAGAGTTGACTTCAAAAGGATATTTTTCCTCGTTTACAATTTTACTATCACCCAGACCATCTGAACATTCAACACCAAACTTTTGATTTTGTACCCAGTCTAATGAGTTGAAGTAATACATGAAGGTATCATACAGGGTCCCCGCAAGAAAATCAGCTGCATCACGTCCATTAAAACCGTCGTAAATGGCACAAAAGAGCCATCCATTTTCTTCAGAACAAACGGCTTGAACCCTATCTTCACCAGCAGCTCCTCCAGCCACCTGTACTTCCATAGAATTGAGAAAACCTTCACTTCTTGATGGAGCACTCGAGGAGTTCAACAGATACGAATCGTAGTCAGCCAAATCGCTTGGTGTAGATGGGCTACAACACAAGTTCGACATACTATTTTGGAGAGAAGATGATAATAAATCCAACTTTGAAAGGCTTGGCGAAGAGAAAACTTTGCGAAAAGAAGTAGGGGAGTCCAAGCTAGGAAGTATTTCTGCTCCTATTAAGCCATTGCAAATATTTGTATTCACAAGCGTACAATTGGCGCTTATAGCAGCACCAGACAAGCAAGAGAAACTACTAGCCCTTTGTATTCCAGCCGTGAAACAAGATCCACTGGAGACCTCGCCAGAGCTGCCTACGTTACCATTGCATTGATAGCCAAAGCTTACTTTGAGTTCTCCCTCCGGCTTGATCATCGCTTTTACTTACAAAATTATTGCCTTCTACAACAAAAATGTCTGTTATACATAAATACCATATAGCATGGATGTAAATCATTGAACACGCCTAGGGAAGTCATTTACTTTAAGATTTCAATGTTTCGTGATGGTACTAACACTACAGATGAATGGGGTATAAAAAGATTGAAAAATTATAGTTGTGAAGCAATAACTGAATTGGTGTTCAGTGAGTGTTTGAGTTGTTTTCAACGTATTGAGTTACAGGTTCAAGTCCCAACGTATAGTAAAAAAATTATAAGTGTAAACCTTATTATGCACAGTACACAGAGAAAATAAAAATCATATAAACCAAATTAAGAGTTTTTATAGATAGATAACAAGAATAGTACATTACAAATTCAGGCCCTCAGTGATGCAGCAGGGAAGTGGGAAGCAGAAAAGTAACACCAAATTTAAGTTTCTATTAGTTCTGAAAAATCTCAACAAAGCTAATTTTACCATCATATGTATTTTATTCTTAGTGATATTCAAACTCTTAAAAACCATACAATAAAAGGGTCCTAATCCAAGTAAAACGCCAACTAAAACAAAAGTATAAAGATTAAAACATAATAAATAAATCTTAATAATACATAGAATCCTATGCTAACATGTTGTCCTACATCACTCAAACAACTACAATGTTGAATAAATCAGTACTTCAGCGAATGACAACTTTAACAAATAAAAAAACAACTTAAATCTTCCAAATAATGTAACAAAATTTGGAAACATCGTAATCTAGAATTATGTTTCATCATTTCCAAGTTCCATATAATTTCAGGATTCTTCAGAACATTGGTGAGTCCATTAAAAAAAATTTGGGAAGTCAAATGATAACGTGAAGCTACTGAAATACAATTTAAGTTTGTATAATATGAATAGAGAAGAAATGAAAAGAAATAACAACATGAGCCCAACAAAGGTGATCAAGCCACTATTCAGAGATGCAAATTTTTATGGTGCCAAAATTACTCTTTTCAAACAATCAAATTATGTCCAGATACAAGGAAATGAAGAATCACGACACAGAAAGCATTTAAAAGAAGCTTTAAAAATAAAAAACACTTAAAACCCACACAGGCAATCAGTAAAACAAGCCAAAAGAAGTCGACGAAAACAACGAAAAACAGAAAACCCATAACGTTACCGCACCAAACCAGAAGAGAAAGATTGAAAATTTCGAAAACCCACCTCAGTTTTCCGGTGTTTTCTACCAACAACCACAAACAAATTATCGTAGAATGTCGCCGACCCAATACAGAATTATATGTAAAAAAAATTGAAAAAATAAAAAAAAATGATATTATTTTGATGGGGTTTTTGTGTTGTGTTGTGGGGGAGAGCCGAGAGCCAGAGGGGGTGAATGTACGACTTTTGGAACAGCAAAAAAGCTAAAAAGGCACAACAGGACAAGCAAAGAGCGGATCTTAGAGGGCAAAAAAAAAAAATGAGAGAGAGAGAGAGAGAGATTTTAGTGGAGAATCTGTATCTGGGTGGTACGTGAAAAAGGCGAAAATAAATGGATGGTTAGGAAGGGTTTTTGCTAAGCTCGGAGGAATTTTTGCTTCGATTGGCCTTTCTTTCTTTCCTCGTTCGTCCCTCTTCACTCTTCACTGTTATCGGTATAGCCGTTTTCCATCATCCCACTTGAGCTTTTTTTTTTTCTTTTTTTTTTTTGGGTATTTTTGCCTTGTTTTTTTAAAGTAAAAGTTTATGACCGTCTTTGTCTTTGTAGTCGGTTTTGTTTTTCATGTTTTTAGAGAAAGAAAAAATAAAAATATGAGAAAAATAGTGTTTGGTATAAATTAAAAATAAAAAATTAAAATTAAAATGATTTTTTAGTTTAGTATAAAATAGTAGAGAAATAAAAAACGATTTTTAGTTGTTTTTCATTTTTTATTTTTTATTTTTTCCTCTCTCGAGTACAGAGAGAGACATTAATGGATTTTTTATACTGAAAATAATCTGTTAATAAAACTACCAAACGCATTTTTAAAAATGATTTCTATATGAGATTGAAAACATTTTCATTTACATTTTCATACAAAAAATAAAATCATTTTGAAATAAGTTTCAAACGCACCCTATATTTTACCTTTTGAGTGGACATACGTAGTAAAACTGTAAGTTTAGACGGGGTAAAACAAGTTGGTTTGAGATCTATCACTGTTGGTTTAGGCACGTCACTGTTAGTAGTATTATAAGTTTAGACCGGACAAAATGAGCAGGTCTGAGATCTGTTACTGTTAGTCTGGGCCCGTCACTATTAGTCCGAGTTCAGTCTTAACTTCTGAATCAGATTACGACGAGCCAAAGTTTCGAGCCTAAAAGTTTATTCAGACCGAGCCAACCCGGTCCAAACGTCCTCTTTTTAAAGATTTTTTTAATAAAATACCTTATCAATTTCAATTGGGCCAGGCCGTCTCTCTCTGCAGTAATCTTGACAAATGCCCCTTGAAATACATGGGTCAGGATTTTTATTTTTTACTATTGATTGTAACTTTTTTAGTCAAATAATTACATTAACAAAAGGGTATTTATCAAGAGTAAGAGATAAAGATCCAGACTTATGAACTCTCAAGGATAAATTCTTCATTATTTCATTTAGGCAGTCCAGCCTAAAATTTCTATTCAGATAGGACGGCTCGAACTTTTACCTCTAATTATACGTTATATTTTAGAGGAGAGTGTTTAAATTTATCTGAAGTAAATTTTAATGTAAAATTTGTAATTTTCTTAGATAAAAAGTGATCGTAATCTATGAATTTTGATGAAATTACTCGATTTTTATTATGAATAAATCTATAATGAAATACTAATAAAATAATTTATCCTTTTCAAATTAGCTTGAAAATATTGTCATTGTTTCAAAATAATAAATTTTTGTTGTTCTCCTTTTGTTCTTTCTTACCTAATTTATCCTTTTCAAATTAGACATAATACATCACCTAATTAATCTTTGGTTATACGTCTATCTATAAACTATAAATGGTAACTTTTGTAAATCCTGCCATCTGTTATTGATTTAAAAAGGTAAACATTTCTACAGATTTAAGCTATTACAATATTAAAAATATTTTTCTACCAGAAAAATTAAAAAAATATTTAATAGATTGTACTCTTTTATAAACTCAAAATATAAGGTATGAAGTGGCAAATAACTTTTTTTTTCTTTTTTTCATGCGATTCCTTCTACTTTTTCCCACGGTTCTGTTCCCTCTTCCTTGAAAATCTATTGAGAGATTTTTTTTTAGGTGATAATTGAGAGATTTATGTGTCGTGTTTGAGCCGACACAATTATAGTAAACACGAACACAATACGATTAATAAACGTGTCAGAAACTCAAATATGAACACGAAACGCTAATAACATGGTTAAGACAACACGTGAACACGATTACTAAACGTACCGTAAGACACGAAAAAAAACACGTTTATGACCCAACTAACAAAAATAGTGGAATTTTATATTGTATTCAAAACTATATTAATTGACTACTTAATATCACTTACAGTTAAAATCATGCATAATAGCCAACACATATTAAAATATCCAAATATCAAACACACACACACACACACACACACACATGATACTACTAGATTATCAAGTAATATGTTTCAAAACATACCAATTACCAAACATCCAAAGAAGTTTGAAAACATAACTAAACATTTGAATGTTTAAGTGCATAAAACATAAAATAAATATAGGAAAATGTCTTCTTTGAGCCTTGAGGTTGAATGCCCAACTACGCTCTAAAAACTAAAATTAGTTTCCAGTTGCTTTAACCTAGTCATAGAAAAAGAAAATATTTTATTAATGAAAGGAAATTTATAGCTTGAGCATGTCACAAGGAAATTCATGTTACCTTACATTGCATTTGAGATGTTGAGGTTGTGAGAATTTTGAGATGAACCAGAAGTGGGCTCGTTGATAGTCAAAGTAAAAACGTCTTCAGTAATTTCATCCACAGCTTCCAAGTGGAAGAAAAAAATAAAGAATTAATCAGACTTCTATTTGGGTTATGATATAGACACAAAAACTCTAAAAACTCAAATTCAAGTAGCGATGACTCTAGAGTTAATTCAACACCATTTTACATATCATCCATCTAAAATTTGAGGAAAAAAACAAAGAATCAATCAGACAAATCTAAGAGCAAAAAATTCTAGAAAATAATGCATGTCAAACTCTAGAAAATAAATGGAAAAACATATTATACCCAACTACAACAATCATTGCAGTAGGAAGATCATCTTGGTTCTTAGCAAAAACAAGCAGAACGACATCACAAATGTCATCCTAGAAAATCAGAAAATTATAAAGTTAAAAGTTATTTCACAATTGAAGCTATATATTTACTTTTCACGACTCCAAACCAAGCAAGTTAGAAATAATATTAGAACGTTAGCATAGCAAGTCAGTAACTAACTAACTAAAATAATAAATTTAGTTAGTTAGCATAGCAAAGAATTAGCATACATATATCATGTGAAGTTCATAAATCAAACCATATACACATAAATCAAAAATTCACACAGAAGTGGATTTTCTGAACATGAGGAAAAAAATTTATTTACTAAAGAAATGAGAAATACTTGAAACGGAGATGAGAATCTCACTTTCCAAAGGCCGAATTTGACGAAGAAGAAAAAGACTTCACGAAGGCCGATCTGACAAAGAAATGAGAAGCGCAAGACTTTCCCAATTTGACAGGATATTGCAGAATGAGAAGGGAGATAACACTCTAGAGAAGAAACAGCGGCGGGTGAGAGAATGAGAGAAAAAGAAGCCTTCAGAGACTCAATATATATAAATGGGCTTAATAAACGGGTCGGGCCGGGCCGTGACGGGTCGGCTCGATAACGCCTCGTATAACTAAACAGGTTAAGTGTGTTAAATGGTCTGGCACGAATTCAACCTATTTTTTTTTTTAGTTATTCGTGTCAATCTGTAACGATCTAATTAATAATTGTGCGATCTAAACTCATTTATTTTGTGTCATTTTCATATCATTTTATTATATCATGTCTAAAATTACCCGTCCTAAGAGATTTGACCCTTCTAAGGTTCCTTCATGTATATCACATGCCAAGCAAAAAAAAAAAAAATATATATATATATATATATATATATATTTGCTCACTTTTCTTTTCGCCGCAAGCAAAGTGAATAGGATATTATCTTTGCTTTATTATAAAAAAAAAAATGCCCTTTCAGATAGGCTAGGAGTAGAAGTTTAGCTGAAAGGGCTGATAGATATTTATTCATTAATGACCTGGCTAATGATGTTGTTTTTGCTTTGGTGTTGCGATATGGACAATATTTGACGTAATTTAGCATGATAATATATTTTTTTAGACTTTCTCCTGTATTTTCTATTTTTTAATCCTTAAATTTATATATTTTACATATTTTTTAATTTAATATAATTTTGATTAAATTTAACGGCTAAATAAATAATAAACACTAATATTTTTAAAAAAGAGAGAACACCATAAAAATTCTTTTTTTTATTTGGGAATTTAACTTGAAACACTGGTACTCTCAAAAAAAAGAGAACACCATAAAAACTCTCTTTTTTTATTCGGGAATTTAACTTTTGGGACTTTCTTTGATGTTCTTTTTTTTAAGAACAACAGTATTTTCTATTTATCAGCCGTTAGATTTGTATTAAATCTGATTAAAAATCAAATCAAATTAAATAAATAATACAAATTCAACAGTTAAAAAAAATATTGGTGTTCTAAAAAAAAAAAAGAACACTAGAAAAAATTTCTTAATTTTTAAGGCACAAATGGAGTGTGGGATTATTTCCTTAAAACTATTTCTGCAACCACAATTATGATATATTGATTACATGTTTCTAGATCAAAACAAAGGATAACGCCAAACTATTGATTTCATGGCAAGTGTCATTATTATTTTTTTTTATTTTGAATTGGTCTTTTGAATTGTAACCGGAAGATGGGTAGAACGTAGTTAGCTTATCTTATCTTGTTAATTAGTGGCTAAAAGTCTGAAGTGTGAATATATTACGTGATATTTTTGTATTTTTAAAGGTTCCTCAAAAATTCCACATTGAATATAACGAAAGTTGCCTAACTTTTGTAGACAAAATTGGGCGAGTGTTTGAAAATTGCGTTCGAGGGGAGCCCAAAACTATACCCTTCATGCAGATTATATGTGGACCACATCGATACAAGCAAGCATATATCAGATAAATCTCACTCTGTCTCAAAATTTTTAGGTCATTTTTAATTTATCTCTCAAATTTTAAAAATTATTCATCTCTTTGAATTTAAATTAATTTTATAGGAGTTTTTTCAGTAGTCCACTCTATTAATAGTGTCAATTTTTTACCGTTAGATTTATTAAAATCACATCAGATTAAAAAAGTACACAGAATGAAAAATTTTAATACAGATTTAACAGTTGAAATGTAAAAAAATACCGGTAGTCTACTTTTACAGAGATTATAAAAAAATCCCTAATTTTACTTAATCTTTTTTGTTAAAACTTTTGAGAAGTGCGTTTATGTGATCTTTTCTATTTGTTCTTGATAGAAATTATAACAAGAAGACTCCGTGTATATATAACTCAAAAGGGTTATATGAAACTAATTCAAAATTAAAAAAATAAAACAAAAATTTTTAAAATTTAACAAATAAAATAAAAACGACCTTAAAATTTAATGACACATGTGAGGGTAATAGTAAACATTTCTGTCTCAATCCAAGACATTACTACTTGTTTGCTACCCATTTGATTTAAGCAACAACAATATTCAATCGACCATGATTGTGACGCCATTTATCAAAAATAAAAAATAACAAAATAACAAGGATTGTGATGCTTACAAGATATCTTCGGTCAACCATTCTATGTCTTCACTTGCCCCAACAGTGAGTTCTTCAATAAAAAGCATTATATACAATTCATTAATTTTATGGGAGTTTTTTCAGTAGTCCACCTTATTAATAGTGTCAATTTTTGACCGTTAAATTTATTAAAATCATATTAAATTAAAAAAGTACATAAAATGAAAAGTTTTAATATAAATTTAACGGCTGAAATATAAAAAAATACCGATAGTCTACTTTTATAGAGACTATCAGAAAAAATCTCTAATTTTACTTAATCTCTTTTGTTAAAACTTTTATTAAACACATATCAAATAAAAGAAGTGCGTTTATGTGGTCTTTTTTATTTTTTCTTGATAGAAATTATAACAAGAAGACTCCGTGTATATATAACTCAAAAGGGTTATATGAAACTAATTCAAAATTAAAAAAATAAAACAAAAATTTTTAAAATTCAACAAATAAAATAGAAATAACCTTAAAATTTAATGACACGTGTGAGGGTAATAGTAAACATTTCTGTCTCAATCCAAGACATGACTATTTGTTTGCTACCCATTTGATTTAAGCAACAACAATATTCAATCGACCATGATTGTGACGCCATTTACCAAAAATAAAAAATAAAAAATAAAAAAATAACAAGGATTGTGATGCTTACAAGATATCTTCGGTCAACCATTCTATGTCTTCACTTGCCCCAACAGTGAGTTCTTCAATAAAAGCATCATATACAATTCATTAACATGACATAAACACAAATCTTGACATTACCCAAATACACACAAATCTTTACAATATAATCATATTCTTCACAAGTTGCGTCTGAGCTGCAAATTTAATACTGTCCATTTGATTCTGAGTGGAATGGAAGAATTGACAAATATTCTAAATCCAATCTGAATTGATCTGCTATAAAGGGAACGACTTAAAATATAACAATCCCACACCACAAAAGCTTATGTTTATTTGAAAATTGTGTTTGGAGTAAGAATTTGTGTCATGATTCAGATTATGGTTCGTGACTCGCTACATTATTTTCTCTCATAAAAAATACACGTAAACTGAGAATAATTATAAATCATAATTCTGAACCTATAAACCAAACGTCTACAAATCATATGCAAAGTTCAAAGGTGTCCTGATCTAGCGATTAATTATATAACTACGAACTTTTTTTTTTTATACCCACAAATCTCCAGAAGCCACTTTGTGAATCCGAATTAAAAACTGGAGCTCTCCACCAAATCATATAATTTTTGGGAGGCAAAAAACTATTGACTTTTGTCATGTAGGTGTCCATTAGGCGGTTCAAACCCCAGACCTTATAGAGCAAACCAAAGGTATGATCATTCCAACCAACACCTAACCAGTAACTTTTTATTATCAATATTCTGAAAATGAACATTTTTAGGTTATTGCAGTGCCGGTGCTTATGCGGGGTGGGGCGGGGCATTATGCGAGACGGACAGGTGGCACCAAGCAGCTCACAGCCTCACACGCATTCAAAAGCATGAAAATGAGCATTTTTTGTTACCACTATTCTGAAATAGATGTCATGTATAAATACCAACAAGTAAACACAAATCCAAAATCCATAGGCATTATAATTCAGTCATGTCTATGCATCCATTCTCCACAAGATGACAATACATATCCACAAAATTACTTTATCTTCATAGGATAAGCAAGTGCCATAATTATTACTCATACTCAATTAATGAATCTTAATAGTACAACAGTTCTTTTTCACATATCAATCAAAGCACCAAAGGACTTACGATCCAACATTGTAAAAGACCTTTGTAAGTCCTTTCTTCGTTCGAATTTGAGATACCTGATGGATAATAAAACAATAAAATCAGATCCGCAAATCCTTACCAAAACTCGCAAAAACAAAAACATGGCTTCACTACAATGAAGTAAATGAAACAAACTGAAATCAGGACATCATATAAATGAACATTTTTTACATCAAGTAATCAAAGTTCTCTAACAATGAACTTAGGGAAGTTGAAGCAAAACGTTTCTTACTGTAACACTTATGATGTCTGAAATATCAGAAACATGGGTGCCGCCACACGGGCAGCCGGGGTAGTCTCCAAGCCTCAGAATGCGAGGCGTGCTGCCCTGCAAGAGGTAGCCGAAAAAAGAGAGTGGAACCATTAGATTATCTAATACTAGAGCTGAAAAATGAAACAGCCTGTATAGGCATATAAAGGAAACTAGACTAATATGAAGACAGACCTTTGGAATGTAATCAGGAAGGCAACCACCACACATTTCAGCAGCTTCTTCATATGGTAAAACAGCAGCACAAACCTATTACAAACATGCCAAAATCACTTCAGCTTTTCTAGTTTTTGACATTATATAAGAGAGCAAAAATGCAAAATGTTAGAACTCACTTTCCCTCCTCTTGATATTAATTTATTAATGTCTAGCTCCAGTTCCTTCTGTAATTCAGTCTGTGGAACCGTGCCTTTGTATTCGACAAAAGGCCTGCCAACAAATGAATATATCAGTGCCTTTGCATACAACTTTCCACGGCAAAAGTGTGCGTAGTCTTGAACATATAACCAAGGTAAAATTGCAATATCTGATAACTTCAATAACCAAACGACTTATTTAGCTTAAAGTTTTCTGATCTTTCAATAAAATCATTTGATTAGTACCATACTTCATCACTAGCAAATAACTTCAGATATGATAGCAATTAGCAAGTGAAGGCTCATCACAACAAAAAAAAAAACAAAATACAAAAGAGTAATCTTTTCTTCCCAAACCTTCTTTTAGCTTTTAGTGTAAGTTACCACTAAAATTCATATCTCATCACTGGCAATTCCAGTTTCTAAAAGCATTTTGTATATATGATTAGCAAGTGAAGGCATTACATTCCTGATCACGAAACATATAAAGAATAAAAATAAGCCTAAAAATAAGCCCCAAGAATCTTAATTTGATATGAAAAATTATACCCATCAGGGAAATGATAGCCTTTTCCTGGCTCTAAATGTCCTAATCCCACATTTTTCATACACACATCCAACAAATGACCTGCTGAGTGTAGCCTGCAAAACCAGGACAAAAAATATGCAAGTTGTAATCAATATAAAGCTCCCAAAAGTCATTACATAATAAAGTCCCTTTTGTTTCAATATTATGAACCTGGAATTTAGCTTTCTCCTTGACTCATCAACATACAACAGACCTTCCTTCCCCTTCTCAAACATAGAATCTGCTTCCTCGGTCGAATTTTTGATGAACCCGTAGTGAAATAACTTAGAAAAATCGGCGTGGAAAAAAAAAATAAATAAATAAAAATTTGGTTAAATAACAATAACCCCACGTGTTTTTCCCTTGTTTATAACTCTGTCCTCTTAGAATAACAATACAACCCTTTTGAATAATAAATTACATCAAAATAAATCCATGTTCAAATAGAGTTTTATTTATTTATTTACAAAATACTCAAAACAAGAAAGGAAGAAAAAAACAAAAACAAAGAAAGTAAGAACCAATAAACAAAACAAAATACGAAAAAGATACTCAGATATGAACCCACAAGAATTTTCTGACGCAATTTATAAATTATAAAAACCGTTGTTTCCACAGACACAAATTTATTTCAAAATAAGAACAAAATACTAGCAAAGTTTAGGGTACGTGTATTTACAAAACTCAAGTCATAACTTAAATCCGAAAAAAAATACTATAATAAAAAAATTAAATTTAAATTTTTATGAGAGAAAACATCCTTAAAATCATAAAATAAAAGAAATAGTGAACTTAATTAATTTGATCAACTTACAATGCCGTCTTTGGACCGTACATCTTGGACGACGAACTTGAAGTCGGAATCAGCAATGGCGATGAACCCTAAATCCGCAGGTTGACCTCCACCTTGCGGGTGAAACACCGTACGATCTAATACCAAAGCGTGCCTACCATCATCGCCCTTCAGAAAAAGAAAATTTAAGGAAAAGAAAATTAGGGCAAAATGGAGGACCTGGAGGAGTTTAATTGCAGATTGAAGATAATTTTCCTCCATTTTCTCGTAAACCAAACGGAGATGAATCGGTAAACTATGGAAGCTCAGATTTACTGTAAGGTTTCAAAGAGCAGAGTGCTGACTTTGACGTAAGAGAGGATCGTGGCCTCGGATTGGAGCTTGAACATGTCTTCGTAGTAATCGAGCTTCGTGGGGCCTACGTCCATGGCTTCCAGTGACTTCAAAGCGCTGAGTTAACTCGTTCGTAACTCGGAAGAATCTTCCAGACAACTTTTCTCGAGTATTAGGGTTTTGCAGGGCGATCGCTGCAGAGAGTGAGCGAGTGTGATGAGATATTTTTGGCGCGAAACTGTACAGACGAAAGAGAGTAACCGAAACTTTGGACATGTTGTTTTGGAGTGTGACTTGAGTATAGTTCTTTAGTTAAATTTGAGTTATAATTTGAGTTGAAGTTATAACTTGAATTTGTGTTTAATTATGTATATTTGAGTTATGATTTAAGATAATAATCTTTTTGAGTTTGCATTTGAGTGAATCAAAACTTGAATTTGTAAGTTCTCTTGGTTGGAGAACTTCTGCCTCCTCAAGAGAATGACCTTGCCTTATATAGCTGAGGCTGCACACAAAATACTCTGATCTTATCTGACAAGATAAAAATTACATTATTAACCTTTTGACTTATGTTACAAGAAAACAAAAGATTTTAGGTCGAGCGGATTCCTAACTATTCCGCTTGTGACTAATTAAACAAATATAAGGTCACTTTCAATGGAGTGGTAGACAAGCTACTATTCTACTTTTGATTAAGACGAAAGAGAACAAACTTTTGTACAGAGTGGACAGCTGGGAGAGTCTAGTCATTGCAGATGGAAGTATAGTCTGACAAGGATGAGCTTGTGTTCGTTGAACCTTGCTCGTATGGCTTATCATGTGGGTACCACACTTTATGTCTTTTAGTGGAAGGTGGTATGTATTCTTTGAGGCCATCTGGAAGGTAGTCTGGGTCTTGTCAGTCTTGGAACAGTGCTGAAGAAGACAGCACCATTCGGATGATCCGGATAGTCCATGGGTTCTTAAGAAAAACCCTGAAAGTTCATCCGCCCAAAACCTTACACCATGCATGATGTTCTCATCGTACGATCAAGACTTCCCAGTTCTTGAAAGACATGTGAACCAGACAACTAAAATGGTTACCAGACCATACGTGCAGCCAACAGAAATTCAACCAGACAAAAGAACCAAGCAACCAACTTAGGCAGAAGAAGTTCTAAACTGTCAGACTCAAAATGACAGGGCACAAAACTAGGTCCTACAGAAGATCAAGACAAAGGTTGACAAAGGCATAGCTCAAGCCAGCCTTGCTGACAAGAGGCTTGACAGTCTTGGTGCAGAAGTACGAAGGATGTATGAAGGTCTTCAGTCAATCGGACACAAGCCCGATCCTCCTCTACAACCATGCACCAGTTCTGCGATAGCTCCACCCACTCAGATCTATGAACCATACAACATTTTCACTATCAGCAACAGTCGCTATTTCGAGCAAGACACAACTCCTCCATCAATCACACCAACATTCGCCTCTATTCCTCCATCATCACAACAAGACTCACGAAGTCAGCCTGACTACAATTCGGCACTGTTCCAAGACCCCAGGCCTTCTATATAGAAAAAAGATCAGAATAGGTCCATAGAAAGAAAAGGCTTGTGTAGAAAAAAATCATCTCAATCATGATTAAAACGAAAAAGTTATAACATTTTTAAGAATATAAAAATATTGTTCATTAATTTGAACTCGAGTTGAAAATGAAACTTGAACTTGAGTTTTAGTCCTAAACTCGAGTTCAAACTTAAAAGAACATAAACTTAAATAAAGTTGGAACTTGAATTGCATTTTTTTTTTTAATTTTGAGGCTGCCCAACACACCCTTTGTCTCACAAGAGGAAGACGACAGGATCTGAAACGACAGCTTCTCATTCAAACAACTGCAACTTTATGAAACTAGATATCTTTCAAATGACAACCGATTTATAGGATCATCAGACAAGAATTCTCCAAAAAACGACAACGACGGTAGGTTTCAAGAGGATATTTACGACAATGCTTCAGAAAAAAATTTAGAAATCTCCATGAACATTACTTGTTACATATTGATATTAGTATCATTGAAAAACGAGAAAACGACAATAGACAGTATAAATGACGAAAGCTCATAAACGCAATTGGCAACATCATATAGGTTTCTGTTTTAAAACGATAATAATTAAGAAACGACAAAATAGTACAGATGGAGAAATGAACGACGACACAATTTAAACGATAATAAAATAGAAACGACAACATTAAAATGAGTCTCAACAGGTATACATTTTCCCGCAAACGACAAAATTGGCTAAAAACGACAAGTGGGAGAACCAAGTGTACCCATTTTAGATCAAAATAAAACAGCTAACAAGTGTTAGTTAAGGCAAGAAAACTGATAATTCAATAGCCAAATAATATGCAGCAGCATTCATTGCGTTTATTTCTATTTTTTCTTCGTATGATAGTAGAAACACAATATGCAGCAGTATTCATTGCGTTTATTTCTATTTTTATTTCACCGATTTGAATATAAAATTCTAAATTTTATTACAGTAAAAAACTCTAAAAAATAATCACATTTAATTTTTTTTTTTCTCTACAGTAAAAAACTCACATAAAATCACATCTCAACTCAAATCAACAAACTAAACGAACATTTAGTCTTTTTTCAAACTCAAATTAATAAATTAAACAGACACTTGGTATTTTTTCAAACTCAATTAATAAACTAAATGGACACGTGGTCTTTTCGCTAGGCAAATACTAGGTTTTTTTTTTTTTTTTTTTTTTTGGGGCAAATTCCAAGCCCAATATTTTTATTT